AATGTTTATTTTGGGAAATTTTCGCCCTTGATTAGCATAATCACTTAAGGAATTTTCAGAAGTTTTATAAACCAGCTTTTGTCAAATAACTGCATCTGAGAATTTTATTTTATTGCAATGAGTCAAGTTAAATAATTAATTATTTTTATTTAAATTAAAAATAATTATAAATGTGTAAAGTATGTGTGTTTAAATAACCTTTTTTTTAATAAAATTTTGTTTTTAAACAATTATTTTAACAATTATTGCTTTTATTTATTTTAAATTTTTATTTTGTTGTTGATTAATTTCCCTAAAGAAAACAAATTAAAATTAAATATTTATAAACAAGCAGATCTGTGAACGCTGCGTACCTCATTGATAACTTAGAAATTAAAATATATTCTTAGGACTTATATTGTATTTTAAAATTTAAACTACTCCAATAAAAGTAAACGAATATGGAATTTCACTCACTAATAAAATATTTTTTTATTTTTTAAAAAAGTGGAACCAATTAATAGACTCTTTTAATTTCAATTTGTTTCTTTAATTATTTGAAAACTAAAATTTGGTTAAAGAAAATTAACTTTTTTACAAAGAATTTTATAATTCAGAGATTCCCACTTTAAGTTATTTGCATTAAATTTGTGACAAGAGAAAAAGTTTCCATGAGGAATTATTGGAAAAAGCAAACGTCACCACTGATTCCGAACACGTGTCCTTCTTGTTGACGCAATTTTCACCATTTTTTCACCACTTTTCTCGAGATCCGTGGGGACAAGCGTAAAGTTATGCAATAACAATAAAAGCTACGCACCGGTCCCCTGCTTTTTGTCGGCGGCGATTCTCCTTCTGCTCCATTTCGCCCGAGTTATCTCTCTGGCCGCGTCCCCGGTGCTCGCCAATGTCCTTACCAAATAATAACATCAGAGACGAGCACGTGTTCATCATCAAAAAAGCCAAACCGCGCCGCAAAAAGGCCAGACGAGAGAAATTTTTTCCTCTCGCCGCCGCGTGGCCAAAAATAAACGGCCGATGATGAATTGAATGGCTTATTGAAGTTTATTGACGACACGCTTATTGCCGCGCGATGAAGGAAAAATTATCGAGCGGCTCGGCTTTTTTTAATAAATGGCATCAAATTAAGACATAAATTAGGCGGCTCGGTGCAGCTGTTGATGCTGCAACGGCTGACACGTGGTTTATTCAATGAAAGTCTGCTGAAATTTATCGAGGCAAATAGCTGGTTGATGACGCCATGGGCATCTATAAATTTGAAAGTTTGAAGCTAAATGATTAAAAAAAATACTAATATTTGGATTAATGAGAGATACTGCAAGAAAATTTAACGTATTTAATGTCAAGTATAGTTTTTTGAACAAAGATCGTAACATTTAATATGATATAGTGATTGGTTGATTATTTGCTGAAAAAAATATAGCTAGAAAAAGATCATTTTTTATAGATAAACTATGATTTAATTATCGAAAGCTCTATTTGATACAATATAAATACAATGAAATTGGCGGAAACACACATAAAGCCAAATAGTATCACCTGGAGACTTTAATTTTTCGAATTTTTTGATAAGCAATAAGTTAATCAAATTTTTTAATTTTATGAATTTTTTTATTGAATTATTAATACAGTTAAAGTCGCATGAATTGGTGTATTTTCTTATAAAACTCAAAACTGCTTTAAAGGAGAAACTTCATCATCTTCATCTACAATTTTATTGGTCTTCTTTGGCATATTTGAACTTAACAAAACGTTTCTCCTTTTTCCCAAACATTATCTGGATTTTTTTTCGCGTCATTGCAGATTCCTTGAGTTAGAAATGCAAATTAAAAACTCAAATTCCTTTGTTTCATGTGTTTCAGGCCAACAGAAGTTAACCTTTTGTTGTTTTTTTATATTTTATTTATGTTCAATGATTTACGCTCAGAAGTTTTTGATTTAATGGTTTTGATACTTTTGAATTCATCAGAAAATTTGGCACTTGCCCTTCATTTGAATATTTATAGCATCGTATATTATTTATAATAAACTATTTAATCAGTTTATTAACTGTTTGAAAATGAAATTTTACCTTATTTTAATATTTACTATTATATAACGGTAACTAAACAATAACAATATTTAAAATTGTTAGTTTGTAAAATAAATTTAAATAATTATAATAACACTATTTTATTCCGTCTAATATAAAGTCTATATATTTTTTAATAGCATTAATTATAAAAATTTATTTCTTTTTTTTATGGGTTATGATAAAGTAAAGCTAATAGAATTCATTTTATAATTAGAGCTATGGAAATAGTAAATTGGTAATATTGTTGGTTCCTCAACACATGATTTATACCCACTAAATTAAATGCTCTACGTGATTTTTGCGCCTTTCAGCCTCTAATTGATTGGAATTTTAAGCGCGCAGAAGCGATAAAACCGAGCTCGATGCCGGTGGAGTTGTCATGCGTTTGAATTCACATACATACATACATAGGCGTGTATAATAAAAAGACACGCTGCAGCAATGTCATTACCAAGGTTGCTGCTACCTCTCTCTCGTTTACGATCAAATCTCTCGCGAGCCACTTCTCGACTCGCTGCTCTTTGAATGTCAACCCGTGAACGAGACACGCGGTTCGTAATAAATGATTCGTCCGTCACATTTCTCCAGCACCTCGGCGTCGATCATTCTCGGATTAAGCAGCCGAATTTCACTGCTTATTTGTCCGCAGCAGTGGAAACGATTTTGAAAGATGTAGCTTGACTTATTGCCGTCGCCGAATTTTTATAATAATTCATCCCGTCGACCGCGGGAGACCACTTTTAATCTCCGAGCAGCGGGATTTTTCTTTTGGGCTGGGTTGCTCTTTTTGTTTTGCCGCCTCTTGCCCTCAGTTATTATGGAGCAATCCGCACGTCACTACAGGAAATCGTATCGCATTTTTTTGCTGCCAGAACGACTCAAAAGAATTTTCTCGTGTGTGATGATTCTTATCTCAAAAGATGTGAGGCGAAAATTGTTATTGTTTATGACAAGCTTAGATAAACTTTGCAAACATTATTAGGGGTTCTGGCTAGAATTTGATGTTATTTATATACGCTATGAAAATAGACAAATCTAAAGGAAAATATGCACACCTGGAAGTGTTTTGTTGAGAAAATACAATTTTTATCAAGTGGATAGTTCGTTGGTCAAGTTATTTTAAATTCAAGTTTTAAATTGATATTCTGTACAAAACCTGAATTATAAATTTTATTTCTGGATGTACTGTAAATCTTCTCTTCTAGAAAAATTGTAGGAGAATCATTGATTTAAAAAAAAATAATAATAATCGAACATTCAAAATGAATTCTTCGCACTTTCAGGGGTTGAATTGCAAAAGAGCACGACAGATCACAACTAATTAGGCAATGACTGCCTCAAATAAAAATATCGTGCTGTTTTGTAATTCAACCTCTGAAAGTTGGTAGTTTATAGATCTTTTTAAATTGTATTATTTTTAATTGGAATACCAGGGGTTAAAATATTTGATTATATTTAATTTCAAAACTGCACTGGTAACAGTTTATCTTAAATGCAAACAAATAATACATAGAAATGAAGATTCGGGCTTTTCCTCGTTGCAAAAAATTGTTTTTATTCAAAAACAAACGGCTCTACCAGTTTCGGTCACGGTCTGCGACCCTATTTCATGAGCAAGACAAATACAAAAAATCAGCAAAATTGAAAAAACCACATAATACATATTAATTAAATATTATGATACGTACATGAAGATTTTCAATTTTGAAAAACAATAAACAGATTCAACTTCCTGTTTTGAAGCCTCATAATGAGAAGGTAGTTGATACACCTTCCAACTATAAAAGATTTCTTTGATTTATTATTTTTGAGGGTGAAAAACCTTTTTTGTTTCACAGATTCATTATAGTTTATGGAACACTGTTCTTAATGTGTTTATCTAATTTACCTATTTATTATTGTTACATTTTTATTTGAATAATTAATTTCATTATTTACAACAAAAAAAATGTTTATGTTAAATATATTTTTTTTAATATTATTATTATTTATTTACTTAAGGAATGGAAAGAAATATAAGAGCTTTTCTTGTTATATATTCGATTAAACGTTCGTATATATAAAAATTCTTTAATTGAATTACATGTTGCATAAATAAATTTACTCTCCTGGTTGCCAACACCACCAGTGGTTTACCTTGCGGGAATTAGACAAATTCTGTTTCTAGCTATAAATTTATTACAAAATCTACAATGCAGTATGTTCCAGAGAAATTATAAACTAATTGCTCAAAATATCTTTAAATGTTAAATAAGCCGCATTATTTATGTCATTTAAATTCTATTCAAAACAACATCCACTGTCTCTAATTAATCCTGACAGCATTCTCGAGGAGGTGAACCAGGACTTTTTCCATGACGCAATCAAACGCGTGAGTCTACTTCTTGATATTTGCCTGTCCACGCTGCTCTCCTAAACGACCGCGCGTCTCTCTTCCTTCTAAATATAATCTCTCCTTTTACGACGCACACTCAAATCCCCATTTTTGATAATGAGACCGATTCGGCCGAAAATAAAAGAGATGTGTCCACTGACCAGCGAGCGCATTCCTCTCGATCGTGTTTATCAGCAACGCAAAATCTCGCCCGAAAATTTTGCCCCACTAGAGATTGCGAGCCGCGAGTGCCGGTTTGGCGGGCGCAAAAAGAAGCTGCGCAAACCAGATCCTCTCCACTTATTTATGTTGAACTCGCCCAGATATCGCCAGAAATAAATTATAATTTTTTTTTAAACTTTTATTTTATTATAAAATTTTATTATTTTCGGTTAGGCAAAGGTGCCGTTTTTAATTATCCGCTTTGCTAATAGTCGCGCTAAACGATGGCCACGTCGGTGAACTTTGACTTGGGATGGGAGAAAGGTGGGGAGAGATGTGAAAGGAGCAGCGCGCCGAGGCTCCTGCGAGAGAGCGAGTGAGTTCGCCGCCGAGAAGACCACCATATGGCATGGCGAGAGGACCGACCTGCTCGCCTCGCCGATCCTTCTCGTGTGTGTCAGTGTCCGACCTCCGGTGTCCGACACCTCTGCACGGTGTCGACCCTTGATTTGGACATCATGGACTTGTAATTGGTGCGAAAAGGTTCGTTTTTGAAACGATTCTACTATTTTTTAAGAGTAAAATAGCAAAATTCTGTGCTTTCTCGATTCTCGATATCTCTGTCTGTTTAATTTTTCTTATTAATTTTAGAAACTAAATGGGGATATTTAATGAGCCTGACTGAGCACGATAGTAAAATTTAAAATACATATATGAAATTGAAAGATTTTTTAAAGTTTTTCTGCACGTCTAAATTTCTTACAAAGAAATCGTAAATACCGGCAATTTCTATTTTTAATATTATACAATGTATATTATATTATGATATAATAATATTTACTTTGTTAAAGATAAAACATTAGTAAAGATCAATGAACAAAAAACACATAAGTTATTTTTATACAAATTCATCCAAAAACTGTCACTATACCAAAGTTGTATAAATTTAATTGTTTCAACAGCAATTAAATAATATTATGATATTGCTTGTTTTAGTCTTGATACAGAAATTTTGACTTTTCATCAGTAAAAATTACAAATATAAAAAAAATATTAGAAAAAAAACGTTAAAAACGGTTAAAGTAATAAAAAATTAATTTTTTTATGTTTAATTTAATTTTTTTTTATAAATGTGCTGTTAAAGTTTTATGTAAAAACTATAAAGCAGTTACTTTTTTATACATGAATGCTATTTTTAACTTCAGAAGTGTACCTTAATCTTTATTGAAACAAAATTATGCATTCTGAAGAAAAAAATGGAAAGTTAATTTTTTTTGTTATAAAAAATTAAAAAAAAACTCGGGCTTAAATTTTAATCGCACCTGAGCCAGATAAATTAATTTGAAGTTAAACGTCACCTTTTTCACCCCTCTCCCCGCAAATTCTTATGAATTGTAATACAATGAACAATGAATGTTAATTTTAAATTTATTATTTATGTTTGAAATTAACGGCTCTGTTTAGTTATTTTCAAGGAAGATCTTAAGAAATAATTTGAGTCCCATGAAAAACTTCGTTGATATTGAAGTTTGTAATGAAATTTTTACATCGCTGCTGTTGTTTAAAAATTAATTGAAATTTACAGTTACATAGTTTTTTAACTTTCTGTTCGAAGTCTGCGCAGTTTCTTTTATTTAGCTTAGGAAATTTTATGACAAAGAAAATAATAAAACTTGATCCATTTTTCACTTCATAATTTTCCTGTGGCAGTTAAAATAAACCGCGCGGATTAATCGCAGGAAGTTATAATTATTATTGTTGTTTATTCGTTCAAATTCACAAGTTTAAAATAAGTAACAAATCAAAATGCTTAAATTGAATAGCAATAAAAATTTTTAAAATGAGCTCCAGAGTTTAAAAATATAAAAAAGTATCAAATTTATGGAATCAGAAAGATAGAATTTGCAATTGATCATTTTTTATATTTCATGAAAAAAAAAAAACCATAATAATTGTAATTTCAAACAGTGATATTCGCGAAGTGTGTGCAAGTTGGACGGCGAGTGTGTGCTTGGAAAATGAAGCGCCCGACGTGTGATGCTGGATGACGAGGAGGACAGTTTGTCCGGCGTGTCCGGCGCGGCCGACCTGGGTCGGCTGTACCGGTCGCACTCGTTGCCGCACTGCCTTTTGCTGAAGCAGGACAGCGCGTCGTCGTCGCGACTCAAAGACTCGGGCGTGCCCACCTCGAACACCAACAGCAGCCGCCAGTCGTCAAAAAAGGGTGTCCCCAACCACGGACTCTTCCCCGACCTCCGTCACCTGCTCTCCCTCACCCAGCACTACTACCCTGAGGGTGGTTGGGGCTGGGTGGTCGTCGTCGTGGCCGTGCTCGTCCAAATCCTCACGCACGGAATCCACTACTCGTTCGGCGTGCTCCTCGCTGAAGTCATCAACAAGTTCGGGCCAAACATCGGTGAACCAGAGTCTTGTGAGTACCAGTTGAAAAGGAAATCGTTTTAATGAACAAATGCAGTTATAAAAGATATAAAATATCAAATTAAAAAATTAAGGTGACATTATGAAGAAAATTAAAGAAATTTTTATATTTTGCTAATCTGCTGGTGTTTGAGAAATTAAATTAAGCGGAATTTGCATGGATAAAAACCAAATAAATATTGCTTTGCTTCCAAATAAGGACATCATACTGTATATCACTGTATATTATTTGATGAACGTCAAAAAGTGACTGAATTTATTGTTTTTCAAATTAAGATCGTCAATATTTGTATTTATTTATAATTATCTTTGACTTGAAAACCCGCCTAAAAATGAGATGGCACAAGCCTAAATTTTTAAATGTTTTCAGGTAAAATTTTGTTATCATCAAATGTGAATTTTGAAGTTTAAAACTTTTACTTGAACATGAGCCAAAGAAAAAATTTGAAAATTTAATTTAATAATGTTATATTGATGCAAGAATTAAATGTAAATTGTTTGTTCCATTGAAACTAATTTTTTTCTAGATGAGTTAAAATTTATAAGATCTTTCCACCTCAACTTCATTCTAAAGCAAAAAAATTCATTTGCTAAAATTAATGTACAATAATTATGATAAATATAAATTTGTGAATTTTCATCATTTGAACAATTTAGTTTCAGAAATTTGTTTATTGGGTTCAAAAATTTACTCTTATACTTGCCAAATACATTTTTTAATCTCACATATTGACCACACTTAATTTAAATAATTTATTCATTCTAAATCATAAAATTTCATCAATGTATGTGTATGTGTTTAATTGACTCATTCCAAACAATGACGATATTTAAAAAAATTATCGGGTAAAGATTAAAATCGTTTTAAGCGAAAGGAGACATCCACTTTTCTTCCTTTCTTCATCACAATAATGATTTTATTGCACGGTTTATAAAATGTGATAGTTTGTTGATTCGTACAAAAAAAAAAAATTATGTGTGGTAATAAACGGGCGTGCGTGTTGTAGCTGCAGGCATACAAATGAGCGTGAAATTAAAACAAAAGCGATCGCGGCGATTCATTGCACAAAACAGGCTCGGGTTAATCTCCGTCTGTGTTATTATCTGGCGGCGCAGAGTGAAACTTGAAACTCGATTCGATTAGAGGCTACACCGACCGGCAATTATTATTTGCAAAATATAACCAGATATTATGGATTTCAAAATATAAAATCTGGAGTAATCAGTGGTTCCGTCTATCAATTTTTTAATAAAAAAAAAATTATTTAGGTTAGCCAATTAATTAGATATTAGATGTATAAGCGAAAAAAATCTGCAAATTTAATTTGCAACAATTCAAGACTTTTAATTCGTTTAAAAAATTCAAATCTTTATTCTTTTCAGATAGACTCGGTGAATCATTGAAAATGTTCAAAACAAATTTCAGATTCGTTCCTTTAATTAACTTAAAAAAAAAATTAAATGGAGCGTAAAATCCTTTCCTGTATTTCAAGTTTTTTTTCCTAGAATAATTCTGACAAAAATCTCTTCAATCTTAATTGTTTTTCCTTGTTTTCGTAGACAATTTTTTGTTTACTTAGCACTAACTTTTTATTCATACTAAGTTTCAAACACAAACATATTTCAAAGTAGGACCCGGAACATTTTGATTTTTATCTTTTCCCACACACATGCACATCTCCATTCCTTAGCGAGATGTGTAAAGTTTTTCGTCCGTCTCTCGCAACAACATCGTGATTTCTTCTTCTTCTTCTTCTTCTTCTCTCTTGGCGCGAAAGGAAAACAATCCAAGCGCCATTAAATGAGCAGCAACGTTTCTTGTTTATTGCCCAGATGTCGGCATGATGATCGTTTCCACTTATAATTTAATTTCCCCAACTGCATATTATATTGCTAAGTGGAATTAAATTTATTCATTTATATGCGCGGCTGGAGTCAAAGGTTCAGCAGGAAAACGATCTTTCAGATATTGCTTTTCAAGAGTTTTACGATATTGGGTGGCAGGCGCCGGTCTTTACATGTGAAACAGATAAAAATTCAAACGGAATCTGTGCCTTTTATTACACGAGCGTGTATCGTTGGCGGGCAAACAGAATTGAGAAGTTTTCCACAAAATATCTGTCATCCGAACTGATATATGAAGTAGCTTTTCGCCATAAACGCCCATTAAAGAAGAAGAGCGTCGGCTTGTTTAATTTTTTTCGCTCCCCGCTCTGACTGTAATTACCACCACTTTATTATCAACTGAATAATCTTTCATCAACCGCCGCTATTAAGGGTATTGGATCTAGAGCTATTATAATGTTTTATGATGTTTTTATATAGTTTCTAAAAGGAAACAGGGGAATTCATTTAAAATTTAAATAATAGTTTAATTGTAATAACTGGAATAAAATTTCTCATAATCTTATACTCAGTCATTGAAAGATTTTAATTAATTCAATCTGCACAAACTAGTATTCTAAAGAAGCTCTAGGAAAAAATTGAAGTATTAAAAAAAAATATTTATTATTTTTTGCTTAAAATAGGCAAAATTCTCAACAAAGTAAATATGTGGAGTAGTGGAAAGTCATTAAATCTTACATAATTTGAATTAGAATGAAACTATTTGCAAAAACTCTGAATGAATTTTAATAACTACTGAGACTAATTAAAATAAATCAAGAGACTTTTGACTTAAAAAAAGTTTTTTGATGAGGATTAAATATTAAAGAATCTAATTAATTGAAATTTGCGTTGCAAAAAAAGATTCAGTTTCCATTGGAGGTTTCAGGGACAAAAAAAATTACAATAATCTTTAAGTTTTGTGTTTTTAAAGAATAAAGAAAAAAGATGTAATTGAAATTGCAAATATTTTCAAAATAAAATTGTTTTTTTTTTATAAGAATCCATAAAAGCAAAAGGAAATAAATGCATCAGCAAAATTCTATCATAATTCCCCAGCGTTTCCGCTCAAATTTCTCTTGATCTCTGAATCTGGAGCCGGCGGGCAACAGAATTGAAATTACACTCATGTACGACTTAATGATCATTATGTCATTATCTCCGTTTCGCGTGCGCCTATCCCGCTAGCGAATCGGTTTGCAGCCGGTCCGTCGATTCCATTTGCATATTACACGCATGGCTCAAAATCTTTTCGCGCTCTCAAATTGCGAAAGGCCAAAATAATGTCCGTACCACAACTAAGCACTTTATTAACGCTTTATTGGCTACACGGTGCTGATGATTGTTTTCGGTGCCGGATCGTGACCGAAAACCGAGACCAAGCAAGCACGGCCAATTTGTTGTCTGATCAGGTAGAAAATTTGCAAGAAAATTGCTCGCACACCGGTTGAAGTAGCAGCAGCCCGGCTAATTTGATAATGACGGCAATCTGTCGGTGCCCTCTGTGCTCTGTGTGCCGAATTGTCGACCCACGCACCGCATCATCTGCGAGAGAGTACATATGGTCCGTAGGAAGGTGGTTCGCATTCTGGCAACTCACTTCTTCTTCTTCTTTGCAGGCAAAGGAATAAAGAAAGGTAAACAAAGTTCGAGTGTAATGCAATATGTGCCTTCAGACTCCAACGAAAAGAGGCGCGTTTTTTTTTTCAAGCAGGCGTGGGAATCGTTCACAAAAAAAAAGATTTTGCACATGGGAGGACAAGGCCCTTTTTATTTTAAAAATATTTTTTCTTTGGATAAGTTTTATTAAAATTGTAAAATTTAAAAACCGTTACTGTCATTTCTTTCATTTAATTGAATTAAACAAATTTACACGAAATTACAATAGTTTAAACTCTTACTCCAAATTGTATGATTAGAACCACAGAAATTAATCAGAGTTAACGAATTGGAAAATGATGGATTCAAATCATACAATTAACTATTGATAAATCCATTAATATGGATTAAACACAACCATATTTTTCTGGACAATATTATAGAGTTTAAAATGCGCACTTTTATCAGTAAAATTAGTGTCCTGGAGGGTGCAAATATTCAAGTTTAAGCATCGATCATAAAATTTGTGTAATGTCAGAATCACATGATGAATATCGTCGAAGTTCCTCAACAGGAGAATATCAATAGAATTTGAATTAGTCACATTGATATTAATTCTGGTTCTTGGTAGAAGACATAATATTATACTTTTTATTTTAAATGATTGACAAAATAATAAAAATATATTGATTGTTTGATAAGTTCTATTGACTGAAGGACCATAAAATAATTTATGACAAAATATATAAACTTAAATATTTAAAATATTTAAAAACAAAATAAACCATTAATTTGATGTTTAAAAAAGTTATAAAAAGTAATAACGTTTAAGTAAAAATTTACTTTGAAACTTAAACTTTAAAAAAAAGTGGTGAGAGATTTGTATGACAGCATCTCGTCGTTCCGCGTGCGAATCTCCTTTTTTCGTTGCGGAGAGCGTGTGTGTGCGTGTCCGGCGACTCTCTTTAAAAACACTCTCTCGCAGAATGTATGAACATTCGACGTAGCCAACACACTCTTGAACAATGACACTTCATTGTTTGCAATCGCCGCCCAGTTCCAAATGAAAAGCGGCCGGTGTGGATTTATATTATTGAAATTTGCCCGCATCATGATCCTGACTCGCGACGACAATGCAGCAGGTCCTTGGCCAAACAAAACAAAGGGTCACTCTTCGTTAGAACGTTCTCGCTAAAAAGAATTTCGCCTCATAACTGGGCTCTTCGGTTTCGCACCGGCCGCTTGATTGCCGAAATATAAAGGCGGATACATATTTATCGAATCATCATCATCCGAAGCAGTTTATTATGCAAGTGTATATTCGTGGCATGACTGCTGGGAATTTGCCCGGGTTATCTGATGCCGCTTATTACAAACATAATGTTATACGACTCGACTCTCTTTCGTAATTAATCACGTGTGTGCTCGAATCGTCACCGCGAATAATTAGTTTTCGTTGGCCCTAGTGTGGCCATTACTCTTTTTCGTAGCCGTCAAGGAGATTATTCA